ATTGGACCCTTATATATATATATATATATTTGTATTCAGCACAATTTCATTCAGTTGCCAACACTCTATTGCAGATGACTCATCTTTTGCAGTACCTACTACCCCAGGTAATTTGACAATTACATTATTCTGCCGGGCTCGAACATTTTTGGAAGAACAGTGTTTATTCCACTTTGTCCCATCTTTTGAATTCAAATATAAATGACTACGTATCCCAGCACTCCGACGGACAGGTAATCTAACATTACTGCATCCTCTTCGAGCTCAAAGTCACTATCAGATATGTGGTCACCAAGGAATACATCAGCGTCAGCTACGGAATCGTCTGAGTCCGAAAAAGCTTCGTCAGTTTCAACTTCTTCGAACAGTTTTCGCAACCTCTCTTCCTCCCGTGTGTAAGTATCCATTATACTGAAAAAAATAATTATCTATATTACCAATATTATTGCTATTTTCAAATCACCCTCTGGTACACAAAATAATACATACACCGAAGTGCGCGTTGGGTCCAGTAGACCGAAATCAGCCCTAAAATCGATGCTTTTCACTTCTCGGCATCAAAACTACAAATCAACATATGTTGTAATCTAACTTGAAGGTACTGACGCGCACAAACTTCGAAAGCAACAACACTATTAAGATTCACGTGGGCCGGACAGACCCGACGCGTCCACTCCAGGGTTAAAAGACAGTCAGCCTTAGGGATAATATCGATCTGAATTTTTATACCCAGAACAAATACATTTTGTTTATTTGATTAATTCATCATTTGATCGCCATCTGAACATTTCCTGAAAGGTTTTCTCATTGGAAGTTTAGAGTAATACCCCAAACATTTTACACATGGTACATATTTTTCATGGTTTATAAATATCTTCTTTGTGTGCCCTTCTCGTGGTAATGATACTTCCCGTATTGTAAGTGAAGTCCTTATACACACACAAAATTTGATATTTTTATAACTACCATCATCAGTGGCAACAATTTTGAATTACGTCCTGTTACTTCTTTTGTGAATTGTTTTGATTTCTTCAAAATATAATACGGACAACCCGATAAATTCGACAGGTAGGTACCCTAACACAATGAAAATTCGTATAATAATGAATGAAAAATCGGATTGAAGAAAAAAAACCTGGCTACCACCGTTGAAGAAAAAAACATTGTTGTCATCGAAACATTGTATATGTGTCTCATCGTTTAAGAGAAAAACATGACAGTTTAACGGGGCTTTATTGTTTTAACGTGTGATTCTTCAATGTGAACAGGGTATCTCAAAATACATCATTTGAGGAACATACATGACAGTTCTACAAGGTTCTATCGTTTTGACGTGCGATTCTTCAATATGTACAGGATGTCTCATTTAAGAAAAAACATGACAGTTCAACGTGGTTCTATCGTTTTAGCATGCAATTCTTCATTGTGTAGAGGATGTTTCAAAATACGTCATTTAAAGAACGAGGAGCTCTATCGTTTTGACGTGTGATTCTTTGATGTGTACAGGGTGTCTCATTCAAGAAAAAACATGGCAGTTAAACAGGGCTCTATTGTTTAACCGTGTGATTCTTCAGTGTGCACAGGGTGTCTCAAATAAGTCATTTAAGAAAACATGACAGTTCAACGGGGTTCCATCGTTTTGACGTGCGATTCTTCAATGTGTACAGAATGTCTCAAAATTCGCCATTTAATGAAAAACGTTGTTTCTGGCTCCAAATCCAATGTTTTTTCTTATGGATCTTGAGTTTAGTCATTTTCAGACCTCGTAGTCAGCGTGGAGTAGAGAAAAATCAAAGATGGTGACATATACCGAAAGGGCATTGAGCAACATCATTGTTAATAATAGTCGCATCATCACGTACAGCACATCTAATGAAAGAAAAATAAATGCAAAACTACATCTTCGTTAATAATAGTCGAATCATCACGCACAGCGCGCCAAATGAAAGGAGAAGAAATGTAGAATTCATCGGCAGAAAAAAAATAAAAATTTTGGTCAGAAGAGCACTAAGCGACATCTTCGTTAATAATAGTCGAATCATCACGCACAGAAAGCCAAATGGAAGGAGAAAAAATGCAGAAAACATCAACAGAGGAAAAACAAAGATTACGGTCAGAAGGGCACTAAGCCACATTTTCGTTATCCAAGTAAGCATCATCAGGAGAAGTTAACCAGATAAAGGTAAACATAACAGAAAAATTTATATAGGGTGTCGTTTGGGAAAGAAATGTGATAACAAGGATATAGTAGGATATAATGCGATAAAACGTTCAGTTTTGTCCCGAAAAACGTATTTAAAATTTTGCAAAATTTCGATGCGTTAAAATAGCCAGTTTTGTCATTTGAATTGCATCGGAAAAAATGCATTTTTAAATCCCTCATTTCTTCTGAAAACCCATATGATTTGCATTGTATCGCGTCACGGAAAATGATTCAGAAATGATATGAGAATCGATTCAAAAAAATGTCAAATATTCAGCGCGATAAAACGTTCATTTATGCCGCGATTATTGCACGAAATATTTCGCAAAATTTTCAATACTTTTTTCGAGACAAAACTGAACGTTTCATATCCTCCTAGATCCTCGTTATCACATTTCTTTCTCAAACGACACCCTATATAAATTGTTCTGTTGTGTTTACTTTTATATGGTTAACTCCTCCTGATGATGCTTACCTGGTTAACGAAAATGTGGCTTAGTGTCCTTGTGACCGCAATCTTTGTTTTTCCTCTGTCGATGTATTCTGCATTTCTTCTCCTTTCATTTGGCGCGCTGTGCGTGATGATTCGACTATTATTAACGGAGATGTAGTTTAGTGCCCTTCTGACAGCAATCTTTGTTTTTCCTTTGTTGATGAATTCTACATTTTTTTTTTTTCATTTTGCGTGCTATGCGTGATGATCCGACTATCATTCTCGAAAATATGGTTTAGTGCCCTTTTGAATGCAATCTTTGTTTTTTCTCTATCGATGCTTTTTGCATTTATTTTCCTTTCATTAGATGTGCTGTACGTGATGCTGCGACTATTAATAACGATGATGTTGCTCAATGCCCTTTCGGTATATTTCACCATCTTTGATTTTTCTCTACTCCACGCTGACTGCGAGTTCTGAAAATGACTAAACTCAAGATCCATAAGAATAAACATTGGATTTTGACCCAGAAATGACGTTTTTTTTATAAATTGGCGTATTTTCAGACATCCTGTAGACACTGAAGAATCGCACGTCAAAACGATGGAACCCCGTTGAACTGTATATTTTCTTAAATGGCGTATTTGAGAAACCCTGTACACACTGAAGAATCACACGATAAAACAATAGAGCCCTGTTGAACTGCCATGTTTTTTCTTGAATGAGACACCCTGTACACATTAAAGAATCACACTTCAAAAGGATAGAGCCCCGGTAAACTGCCCTGTTCCTTAAATGACGTATTTTGAGACACCCTGTACACATTGAAGAATCGCATGTTAAAACGATAGAGCCTCGTTAAACTCTCATGTTTTTTTAGAATGAGACATCCTGTACATATTGAAGAATCGCACGTCTAAACGAAAGAAGTAGAACTGTCATGTTCCCCAAATGATGAATTTTAAGATATCCTGTACACATTGAAGAATCACATGTTAAAACAATAGAGCCCCTTCAAACTGTCATGTATGTCTTGATGACAACCATGTTTTTTTTCCTCAACGTTGGTAGCCATGTTTTTTTTCTTTAATCCCATTTTCCATTCATTATTATTATTATACCATGATTTTTATAATTTAACAACACCGACGTATTTTGAGACACCCTGTATACATTGACGTCACTAACACGAAAACGAGAAAACGCATGTGACAAATTTTGAAATGTAATTGGTAAATATCTCCCATTGCCCCATTTTCAAACGTTTCCCATTGGAAACTATAGATTCCTATCAATCTGACATGTTTTTTCTAAAATGAGACACCCTGTATACATTGAAGAATCACACGTTGAAACGATAGATCCACGTTAAACTGTCATGTTTTTCCATGACGCATTTTGAGACACCCTGTACACCATGCTCTCATGTTTTTTTTCCTAAACGACGAGACACCCTGTATATCTCAATGACAGCCATTTTTTTTCTATTACGTTGGCAGCCTATTACGTTGGCTGACATGTTTTTTCTTTAACGCCCGTGGCCATGTTTTTTTCTTTAATCCGATTTATCGTTCATTATTAATATTATACCGTTATTTCTGTAATTCCACCGAGCCGTTATCTGTCAAATGAATCTACTCGATGCTCATTCCATCCTTCTATACATCGATTACGTCGCACACCTCTCTTTACCATTCACTACCGTAAGTAAGGTCCTTAAGGAATACGCCCTAGAACTCTCTTACCTGATGTAGTGAAATGTATCTTCATTTTCTATTCAA